TGGGGCTGTTTGTGTTGGTGCTGTTGGTGTTGGGGCTGTTGGTGTTGGTGCTGTTGTGTTGGGGCTGTTGGTGTTGGTGCTGTTTGTGTTGGGGCTGTTTGTGTTGGGGCTGTTGGTGTTGGGGCTGTTGGTGTTGGGGCTGTTGTGTTGGGGCTGTTGGTGTTGGGGCTGTTGTGTTGGGGCTGTTGGTGTTGGGGCTGTTGTGTTGGTGCTGTTGGTGTTGGTGCTGTTGTGTTGGGGCTGTTGTGTTGGTGCTGTTGTGTTGGTGCTGTTGTGTTGGGGCTGTTGTGTTGGTGCTGTTGTGTTGGGGCTGTTGGTGTTGGTGCTGTTGGTGTTGGGGCTGTTGTGTTGGTGCTGTTGTGTTGGGGCTGTTGGTGTTGGTGCTGTTGTGTTGGGGCTGTTGTGTTGGTGCTGTTTGTGTTGGGGCTGTTGTGTTGGGGCTGTTGTGTTGGGGCTGTTGTGTTGGGGCTGTTGTGTTGGGGCTGTTGTGTTGGGGCTGTTGTGTTGGGGCTGTTGTGTTGGGGCTGTTGTGTTGGTGCTGTTGTGTTGGGGCTGTTGTGTTGGTGCTGTTGTGTTGGTGCTGTTGGTGTTGGTGCTGTTGTGTTGGGGCTGTTGTGTTGGTGCTGTTGTGTTGGTGCTGTTGGTGTTGGTGCTGTTGTGTTGGTGCTGTTGGTGTTGGTGCTGTTGTGTTGGGGCTGTTGTGGTGGTGCTGTTGGTGTTGGGGCTGTTGTGTTGGGGCTGTTGGTGTTGGTGCTGTTGTGTTGGTGCTGTTGTGTTGGGGCTGTTGTGTTGGGGCTGTTGGTGTTGGGGCTGTTGTGTTGGGGCTGTTGGTGTTGGGGCTGTTGTGTTGGGGCTGTTGGTGTTGGTGCTGTTGGTGTTGGTGCTGTTGTGTTGGTGCTGTTGTGTTGGGGCTGTTGGTGTTGGGGCTGTTGGTGTTGGGGCTGTTGTGTTGGGGCTGTTGGTGTTGGGGCTGTTGGTGTTGGTGCTGTTGGTGTTGGTGCTGTTGTGTTGGTGCTGTTGTGTTGGGGCTGTTGGTGTTGGGGCTGTTGGTGTTGGGGCTGTTGTGTTGGGGCTGTTGGTGTTGGTGCTGTTGTGTTGGGGCTGTTGGTGTTGGTGCTGTTGTGTTGGGGCTGTTGTGTTGGGGCTGTTGTGTTGGGGCTGTTGTGTTGGGGCTGTTTGTGTTGGGGCTGTTGTGTTGGGGCTGTTGTGTTGGGGCTGTTGTGTTGGGGCTGTTTGTGTTGGGGCTGTTGTGTTGGGGCTGTTGGTGTTGGGGCTGTTGTGTTGGGGCTGTTGTGTTGGGGCTGTTGTGTTGGTGCTGTTGTGTTGGGGCTGTTGTGTTGGGGCTGTTGTGTTGGGGCTGTTGTGTTGGGGCTGTTGTGTTGGTGCTGTTTGTGTTGGGGCTGTTGGTGTTGGGGCTGTTGTGTTGGGGCTGTTGGTGTTGGTGCTGTTGTGTTGGGGCTGTTGTGTTGGTGCTCCCAAGATAACTCGGTTGGACTCACTGCACATTAGTAGCAGCAGTAGTAGTAGCGGTAGTACCAGTAGTAGTACCGGCAGCAGTAGTACCAGTAGTAGTACCGGCAGCAGTAGTACCAGTAGTAGTACCGGCAGCAGTAGTACCAGAAGCAGTAGTACCAGTAGTAGTAGTAGCAGTTAGTACCAGTAGTAGTACCAGTAGTACCAGTAGCAGTAGTACCAGTAGTAGTACCAGTAGTACCAGTAGCAGTAGTACCAGTAGTAGTACCAGCAGCAGTAGCAGTTAGTACCAGTAGTAGTACCAGCAGCAGTAGCAGTTAGTACCAGTAGTAGTACCAGCAGCAGTTAGTGTCAGCAGTAGCGTGAGTGTGACGTGTGTGTGCGTGTGCACTGTGCCTGGCACCGGCTGAGTGAGTGTGTGTGCGTGCACTGTGCCTGGCACCGGCTGAACGTGTGTGTGTGTGTGTGTGCACTGTGCCTGGCACCGGCTGAGTGTGTGCGTGTGTGCACTGTGCCTGGCACCGGCTGAACGTGTGTGTGTGTGTGTGCGTGCACTGTGCCTGGCACCGGCTGAACGTGTGTGTGTGTGTGTGTGCGCGTGCACTGTGCCTGGCACCGGCTAAGTGTGTGTGTGTGTGTGCTGTGCCTGGCACCGGCTGAACGTGTGTGTGTGTGTGTGCACTGTGCCTGGCACCGGCTGAGTGAGTGTGTGTGCACTGTGCCTGGCACCGGCTGAACGTGTGTGTGTGTGTGTGTGCACTGTGCCTGGCACCGGCTGAGTGTATGTGCGTGCACTGTGCCTGGCACCGGCTGAGTGTGTGTGTGTGTGCGCTGTGCCTAGCACCGGCTGAGTGTGTGTGTGTGTGTGTGCGTGTGCACTGTGCCTGGCACCGGCTGAGCGTGTGTGTGTGTGTGTGTGCGCTGTGCCTGGCACCGGCTGAGCGTGTGTGTGTGTGTGTGTGCGCGTGCACTGTGCCTGGCACCGGCTGAACGTGTGTGACGTGTGTGTGCGTGCACTGTGCCTGGCACCGGCTGAACGTGTGTGTGTGCACTGTGCCTGGCACCGGCTGAGTGAGTGTGTGTGTGTGCACTGTGCCTGGCACCGGCTGAACGTGTGTGTGTGTGTGTGTGCGCTGTGCCTAGCACCGGCTGAGTGTGTGTGTGTGTGTGTGCACTGTGCCTGGCACCGGCTGAGTGTGTGTGTGTGCTGTGCCTAGCACCGGCTGAACGTGTGTGTGTGTGTATGTGTGCACTGTGCCTGGCACCGGCTGAACGTGTGTGTGTGTGTGTGTGCGTGTGCACTGTGCCTAGCACCGGCTGAACGTGTGTGTGTGTGTGCGTGCACTGTGCCTGGCACCGGCTGAACGTGTGTGTGTGTGTGTGCGTGCACTGTGCCTGGCACCGGCTGAGCGTGTGTGTGTGCACTGTGCCTGGCACCGGCTGAACGTGTGTGTGTGTGCACTGTGCCTAGCACCAGCTGAGCGTGTGTGTGTGCACTGTGCCTGGCACCAGCTGAGCGTGTGTGTGTGCGCTGTGCCTGGCACCGGCTGAGTGAGTGTGTGTGTGCACTGTGCCTGGCACCAGCTGAGCGTGTGTGTGTGTGTGCGCGTGCACTGTGCCTGGCACCGGCTGAACGTGTGTGTGTGTGTGCGTGCACTGTGCCTGGCACCGGCTGAGTGAGTGTGTGCACTGTGCCTGGCACCGGCTGAACGTGTGTGTGTGTGTGCGTGCACTGTGCCTGGCACCGGCTGAGCGTGTGTGTGTGTGTGTGTGCACTGTGCCTGGCACCGGCTGAACGTGTGTGTGTGTGTGTGCGCGTGCACTGTGCCTGGCACCGGCTGAACGTGTGTGTGTGTGTGTGCACTGTGCCTGGCACCGGCTGAGTGAGTGTGTGTGTGCGCTGTGCCTAGCACCGGCTGAGTGAGTGTGTGTGTGTGCGTGTGCACTGTGCCTGGCACCGGCTGAACGTGTGTGTGTGTGTGTGTGCACTGTGCCTGGCACCGGCTGAGTGTGTGTGTGCACTGTGCCTGGCACCGGCTGAACGTGTGTGTGTGTGTGTGCGTGTGCACTGTGCCTAGCACCGGCTGACCGGGTGTGTGTGTGTGTGCGTGCACTGTGCCTGGCACCGGCTGAACGTGTGTGTGTGTGCGTGCACTGTGCCTGGCACCGGCTGAACGTGTGTGTGTGTGTGTGCGCTGTGCCTAGCACTGGCTGAACGTGTGTGTGTGTGTGTGTGCGTGCACTGTGCCTGGCACCGGCTGAACGTGTGTGTGTGTGTGTGTGCGTGCACTGTGCCTGGCACCGGCTGAACGTGTGTGTGTGTGTGTGTGCGCTGTGCCTAGCACCGGCTGAACGTGTGTGTGTGTGTGTGCGCTGTGCACTGTGCCTGGCACCGGCTGAGTGAGTGTGTGTGTGTGTGCGCTGTGCCTAGCACCGGCTGAGTGTATGTGTGTGCGCTGTGCCTGGCACCGGCTGAGCGTGTGTGTGCGTGCACTGTGCCTGGCACCGGCTGAGCGTGTGTGTGCGTGCACTGTGCCTGGCACCGGCTGAGCGTGTGTGTGCGTGCACTGTGCCTGGCACCGGCTGAGTGTGTGTGTGTGCGCTGTGCCTGGCACCGGCTGAACGTGTGTGTGTGTGTGTGTGCGTGCACTGTGCCTGGCACCGGCTGAGTGAGTGTGTGTGCACTGTGCCTGGCACCGGCTGAGTGAGTGTGTGTGCACTGTGCCTGGCACCGGCTGAGTGTGTGTGTGTGTGCGCTGTGCCTAGCACCGGCTGAGCGTGTGTGTGTGTGTGTGCGCTGTGCCTAGCACCGGCTGAACGTAAGTGTGACGTGTGTGTGTGCGCGTGCACTGTGCCTGGCACCGGCTGAAGTGTATGTGTGTGTGTGTGTGCGCTGTGCCTGGCACCGGCTGAGCGTGTGTGTGCGTGTGTGCGTGCACTGTGCCTGGCACCGGCTGAAGTGTATGTGTGTGTGTGCGTGCACTGTGCCTGGCACCGGCTGAGCGTGTGTGTGCGTGTGTGCGTGCACTGTGCCTGGCACCGGCTGAGCGTGTGTGTGCGTGCACTGTGCCTGGCACCGGCTGAACGTGAGCGTGTGTGTGTGTGTGTGTGCGTGCACTGTGCCTGGCACCGGCTGAACGTGAGCGTGTGTGTGTGTGTGTGCGCTGTGCCTGGCACCGGCTGAACGTGTGTGTGTGTGTGTGCACTGTGCCTGGCACCGGCTGAGCGTGTGTGCGTGCACTGTGCCTGGCACCGGCTGAGCGTGTGTGTGTGTGTGTGTGCGTGCACTGTGCCTGGCACCGGCTGAACGTGAGCGTGTGTGTGTGTGTGTGTGCGTGCACTGTGCCTGGCACCGGCTGAACGTGAGCGTGTGTGTGTGTGTGTGCGCTGTGCCTGGCACCGGCTGAACGTGTGTGTGTGTGTGTGCACTGTGCCTGGCACCGGCTGAGCGTGTGTGCGTGCACTGTGCCTGGCACCGGCTGAGCGAGTGTGTGAGTGTGTGTGTGTGCGTGCACTGTGCCTGGCACCGGCTGAGCGTGGCGGCGCTCCCCGCGGTCAGTGCCTTCCCGGCCAGTGCCAGCACGCGGTGTCCCTGGCACGTGTGGTGGCGCAGAACCTCGGCGAAGTCGGCGGGGACTGCCGCAGACACAGACAAAGGTCCCCCGTGTAGCCTCAACGGGCCGTGGGGGGCAAGTGCTGTTGGCTCACAGCAGCACCCTGTGGAGAAGCCCACACGAGGTGGGGGGGTGGCCGGCACCACGCCCGGCCGCCTTTGTCTCCCCCAGCGGGCGGGCTGATGTTTTTCCTACACACCGCTCTACACCAGGCACTCGTTTTGGGGCCGAGTCGACCTAGGGGAGGCCCGGATGATCGTCGCGGGCGGTGTGCCGCTGACCGCTACACCGCCCGCTCCCCGCACACGCGCACAGAGAGAGACACGCATAGGGAGAGACACGCACAGAGAGAGACACGCAGAGAGAGACACGCACAGAGAGACACGCAGAGAGAGAGACACGCACAGAGACACACAGAGAGAGAGACACGCACAGACACGCACAGAGAGAGACACGCACAGAGAGACACGCATAGACACGCACAGAGAGAGACACGCATAGACACGCACAGAGAGAGACACGCACAGAGAGAGACACGCATAGGGAGACACGCGCAGAGACACACACAGACACGCATAAGGAGTCACGCATAGGGAGACACGCACAGAGAGATACACACAGAGAGAGACACGTATAGAGAGACATGCACAGAGAGACACGCACAGAGACACACAGAGAGAGAGACACGCATAGAGAGAGACACGCATAGGGAGACACGCACAGACACGCACAGAGAGAGACACGCATAGGGAGACACGCATAGACACGCACAGAGAGAGACACGCATAGGGAGACACGCACAGAGAGACATGCACAGAGACACACAGAGAGACACGCACAGACACGCACAGAGAGAGACACGCATAGGGAGACACGCACAGAGAGAGACACGCACAGAGACACACAGAGAGAGAGACACGCACAGACACGCACAGAGAGACACGAATAGACACGCACAGAGAGAGACACGCACAGAGACACACACAGAGAGAGAGACACGCACAGAGAGAGACGCACAGAGAGAGACACACAGACACGCATAGAGAGAGACACGCATAGAGAGACACGCACAGAAAGACACGCATAGAGACAGACACGCATAGAGAGACACACAGAGACACGCATAGAGAGACACGCAGAGACACGCATAGAGAGAGACACGCACAGAGAGAGACACACAGAGAGAGACACGCACAGAGAGACACGCACAGAGAGAGACACGCACAGAGACACGCACAGAGAGAGACACGCATAGGGAGACACGCATAGAGAGACACGCATAGGGAGACACGCACAGAGAGAGACACGCAGAGACACGCATAGAGAGACACGCATAGGGAGAGACACGCACAGAGAGACACACACACAGAGAGACACGCATAGGGAGAGACACACACAGAGAGACACGCATAGGGAGAGACACGCGCAGAGACACACACAGACACGCATAGGGAGACACACATAGGGAGACACGCACAGAGAGAGACACGCACAGAGAGAGACACGCATAGGGAGACACGCACAGAGACAGGCATAGAGAAAGACACGCATAGACACGCATAGGGAGACACGCACAGAGAGAGACACGCACAGAGAGAGACACGCACAGACACGCACAGAGACACGCATAGACACGCACAGAGACACGTATAGAGAGAGACACGCATAGGCACGCATAGGGAGACACGCACAGAGAGAGACATGCACAGACACGCACAGAGACACACACAGAGACACGCACAGAGAGACACGCACAGAGGCACGCACAGAGACACGCACAGAGAGAGACACACGCGCAGAGAGACACGCATAGGGAGACACGCACAGAGACACGCACAGAGACGCACACAGAGAGACACACGCACAGAGAGAGACACAGAGAGACACGCACAGAGAGACACACACAGAGAGAGACACGCACAGAGAGACACACACAGAGAGAGACTCACAGAGAGAGACACGCGCAGAGAGACACGCACAGAGAGAGACACGCGCAGAGAGACACGCATAGAGAGACACGCACAGAGAGAGACACAGAGAGAGACACACACAGAGAGAGACACGCACAGAGAGACACGCATAGAGACACACACGCACAGAGACGCACACAGAGAGACACACGCACAGAGAGAGACACAGAGAGACACACACAGAGAGAGACACGCACAGAGACACGCATAGAGAGACACGCACAGTCACGCACAGAGACACGTATAGAGAGAGACACGCATAGACACGCATAGGGAGAGCACAGAGACACGCACAGAGAGACACAGAGAGATGCGCAGAGAGAGACACACGCACAGAGAGACACAGAGAGAGACACAGAGAGAGACACGCACAGAGACACGCACAGAGAGACACGCACAGAGAGAGACTCATAGACACAGAGAGAGACACGCACAGAGAGACACGCGCAGAGACACGCATAGAGAGACACGCACAGAGACACACATAGAGAAAGACACGCATAGACACGCATAGGGAGACACGCACAGAGAGACACACGCACAGAGAGACACGCATAGAGAGAGACACGCATAGACACGCACAGAGACACGTATAGAGAGAGACACGCATAGGGAGACACGCACAGAGACACACAGAGAGACACGCGCAGAGAGAGACACACGCACAGAGAGACACGCACAGAGAAACACGCACAGAGAGAGACACAGAGAGAGACACACACAGAGAGACATGCACAGAGAGAGACACGCACAGAGAGATACAGAGAGAGACACGCACAGAGAGAGACACAGAGAGAGACGCACACAGAGAGAGACACAGAGAGAGACGCACACAGAGAGACACACAACAACAACAAGCGCCATTCGCCACTAAGTGGCGGTGACGTCACCACGACGCTTGTGCCAGGCTATGTGCACCTTGAGGCCACGTGAAGTGTCGAACGCCCGCTGGCAGGAGGTCACGGGGCAGACCCAGGTGCCACGGGTCGACTGACTGAGATGACTGGCTGATGCACCACCTGTGCCCCCTACTGTGCCAACCTGCTGTGCTTTAGCCACCCGGCGCTCCGCTCGTTGTTGTGAGCGTCGCTCCTCCGCCCTCCGTTGTTGTTGGAGGGCGACTGCCTCCAACTGCCCAGTAGCGTCCTTCACGAGCCTCCTCCACAGAGGCCGATCTTGACACCGCTGGTACCGGTCATCGGCAAGTCCACTCAGCTCCACGTCCTCCTGTACCACATCACTCCATCTCTTCTCTAGCCCGTGCCGCGCCCGCTTAGCCCCCTCAATCCGGCCAAACAAAAGCTGTTTCGGCATGCGGTGGCTGGGCATGCGGGCTACATGACCCAGCCATCGCAGCCTTGCCTGCCGGAGGAGCTCACCGATGGGACCCTGCCCAGATCTTTCAAGGATATGTGAGCTCCTCACACAATCTAGTCTGGTTAAACCCAGGATGGATTGTAGGCAGGCCAGCCTAAATGTTTCTAACCGGCGAAGATGTTCCATTAGGGGGGTCCACGTTTCGCAAGCGTAGAGAAGGGAGGGAATGACCGTGGCCGAGAAGACCTGAAGCTTCGTGCGGAGCGACAGACCAGGTAGCTTCCACACAGCGTTACGCAACCGATGAAAAGATATTGCCGCTCGACTGATTCGGAGTGAGACCTCTGCTGTTAAACTGGAGCCAGTCATAAGCACACTGCCCAGGTATGGGAAACTCTCCACTCTCTCCACAACTGCCCCATCACCGATTGGGAGTTGTGGGGGTGGAGTGTCCGAGACACACACACACAGACACACGCACAGAGAGAGACACTCACCCACTCACTCACCCACCCACTCACTCACTCACCCACCCACTCACCCACCCACCCACTCACTCACCCACTCACTCACCCACTCACCCACCCACTCACTCACCCACTCACCCACTCACCCACCCACCCACTCACTCACCCACCCACTCACTCACCCACCCACTCACCCACCCACTCACCCACTCACTCACCCACCCACTCACCCACCCACCCACTCACTCACTACCTGTGTGTAACCGGCAGAGGCTCGCGATGATCTCCGGAGCTCCCTTGGTGAAGACCATGAGCTGTCTCCCGTCCCCGGCGTCTCCCTCCCCGTGTCTCCCACCCTCCGTGTCTCCCTCCCCGTGTCTCCCACCCTCCGTGTCTCCCTCCCCGTGTCTCCCACCCTCCGTGTCTCCCTCCCCGTGTCTCCCGTCCCCGGCGTCTCCCTCCCCGTGTCTCCCAGGTCCCGGTGGCGACTCCAGTGACACCACCACGCTCATCCTCTGCAGTGTCGAAGAGAACTGGAACTGGTTCAGGATCACAATCTCCTGGGGGAGGGGAGAGTGGGGGAGGGAGGGAGGGGGGTGATGAGAGGGGAGATGCTGGGGGGGGGGGGGGGGGGGCGGGGGGGGGGGGCGGGGGGGGGGGGGGGGGGGGGGGGGGGCGGGGGGGTCACTGACCCCGTCCGTGTGGTTGTCTCTGGGCTTCATGACCCCCACGGCATAGGGGTGGTGGTGGTGGTGGTGTCCACGGGGGTCCACCTCCTCCAGAGCCTGCACGCACGCACACAGAGAGAGAGAGAGAGGCCTCAAGATAGCTGCGCGCAGGGTGGCAGTGCCTCCTCCTCCACCTCCTCTTCCACCTTCACCTCCTCCTCCACCACCTCCACCACCTCCACCCCCTCCACCTCCTTCTCCACCTTCACCTCCTCCTCCACCACCTCCACCACCACCCCTCCACCTCCTCCACCACCACCCCTCCACCTCCTCCTCCACCACCTCCACCTCCTCCACCTCCTCCACTTCCTACTTCACCTCCTCCACCACCTCCACCACCTCCACCCCCTCCACCTCCTTCTCCACCTTCACCACCTCCTACTCCACCACCTCCTCCACCACCCCTCCTCCTCCACTTCCTACTCCACCTTTTCCACCACCTCCTACTCCACCACCTCCACCACTTCCACCCCCTCCACCTCCTTCTCCACCTTCACCACCTCCTCCTCCACCACCTCCTCCACCACCCCTCCACCTCCTCCACCATCTCCACCTCCTCCACTTCCTACTCCACCTTTTCCACCACCTCCTCCACCACCTCCACGCCCTCCTCCACCTCCTCTTCCACCTCCTCCACCTCCTACTCCACCTTCACCTCCTCCACCACCTCCACCCCCTCCACCTCCTTCTCCACCTTCACCACCTCCTCCACTTCCTCCTCCACCACCTCCTCCTCCACTACCTCCACCTCCTCCTCCACCACCTCCTCCACTACCTCCTCCTCCACCTCCTCCACCACCTCCACCACCTCCTCCACCACCTCCACCACGCCCCCCTCCCACCACAAACCACGCCCCCATCTCACCACAAACCACGCCCCCCCCTCCCACCACAAACCACGCCCCCCTCCTCACCCAGGCCACGCCCTCCACCATGTTGATGTCGATGGGATCCCCGACGATTCGGCCCCCCACCTCACCCAGACCACGCCCCCTCCCACCACAAACCACGCCCCCCCTCCCACCACAAACCACGCCCCCCCACCTCCCTCCACAAACCACGCCCCCCTCCTCACCCAGGCCACGCCCTCCACCATGTTGATGTCGATGGGATCCCCGACGATTCGGCCCCCCCCCCACCTCACCCAGACCACGCCCCCTCCCACCACAAACCACGCCCCCTCACACCACAAGCCACGCCCCCTCCCAACACAAACCACGCCCCCCCCTCCCAAACAAACCACGCCCCCCTCCTCCCAACACAAACCACGCCCCCCTCCCACCACAAACCACGCCCCCCCTCCCACCACAAACCACGCCCCCCTCCTCACCCAGGCCACGCCCTCCACCATGTTGATGTCGATGGGATCCCCGACGATTCGGCCCCCCCCCCGCCTCACCCAGACCACGCCCCCTCCCACCACAAACCACGCCCCCCTCCTCACCCAGGCCACGCCCTCCACCATGTTGATGTCGATGGGATCCCCGACGATTCGGCCCCCCCCCCGCCTCACCCAGACCACGCCCCCTCCCACCACAAACCACGCCCCTCCCCTCCCACCACAAACCACCCCCCCCTCCTCACCCAGGCCATGCCCTCCACCATGTTGATGTCGATGGGATCCCCGACGATTCGGCCACCCCCGCCGCCTCACCCAGACCACGCCCCCTCCCACCACAAACCACGCCCCCCTCACACCACAAGCCACGCCCCCTCCCACCACAAACCACGCCCCCCTCCCAAAACAAACCACGCCCCCCCTCCCAAAACAAACCACGCCTCCCACCACAAACCACGCCCCCCCTCCCACCACAAACCACGCCCCCCCCCCTCCTCACCCAGGCCACGCCCTCCACCATGTTGATGTCGATGGGATCCCCGACGATTCAGCCCCCCCCGCCTCACCCAGACCACGCCCCCTCCCAACACAAACCACACCCCCTCACAACACAAGCCACGCCCCCTCACAACACAAGCCACGCCCCCCTCCCACCACAAACCACGCCCCCCTCCTCCCACCACAAACCACGCCCCCCTCCCACCACAAGCCACGCCCCCCCCCCCTCCCACCACAAACCACGCCCCCCCCTCCTCACCCAGGCCACGCCCTCCACCATGTTGATGTCGATGGGATCCCCGACGATTCGGCCACCCCCGCCGCCTCACCCAGACCACGCCCCCTCCCACCACAAACCACGCCCCCCTCACACCACAAGCCACGCCCCCTCCCAACACAAACCACGCCCCCCCTCCCAAAACAAACCACGCCCCCCTCCTCCCAACACAAATCATGCCCCCCTCCTACCACAAACCACGCCCCCCTCCCAACACAAGCCACGCCCCCCTCCTCACCCAGGCCACGCCCTCCACCATGTTGATGTCGATGGGATCCCCGACGATTCGGCCCCCCCGGAGCCGCGCCAGCGAGTGGCAGGAGGCCAGCGCCGGCGTCAGCCGGTGGCCCCGGGGCAGCCGGCGCGGCTCGGCCAGCAGCGGAGAGAACACGGCGGGGGAGGCGTCCGCCCCGCCCCCAGCCCGGCCACGCCCCTGGCCACGCCCCTGGCCACGCCCCTGGCCACGCCCCTGGCCACGCCCCTGGCCACGCCCCTGGCCACGCCCCTCGCTGCCAGCTGATGCCGAGGGAGACACGGCAACCACGCCCAGCAGCTCCAGGTTGTCTTCTGTGAGCGTGCCGGTCTGTGGGGGGCCGAGGGAGAAACGGCGCGGGGGGAGGGGGGGGGATTATGGCGGTGACCGTGGTGGTGGTGGTGACTGTGGTGGTGGTGATGGTGGTGATGGTGACTGTGGTGGTGGTGACTGTGGTGGTGGTGGTGATGGTGGTGGTGATGGTGGTGGTGGTGATGGTGGTGATGGCGGTGGTGGTGACTGTGGCGATGGTGGTGACTGTGGTGGTGGTGATGGTGGTGACCGTGGTGGTGGTGATGGTGGTGATAGTGATGGTGGTGACTGTGGTGATGGTGGTGGTGACTGTGGTGGTGACTGTGGTGACTGTGGTGACGGTGGTGACGGTGGTGATGGTGGTGACGGTGGTGACTGTGGTGACGGTGGTGACTGTGGTGACGGTGGTGACGGTGGTGACTGTGGTGAGGGTGGTGACGGTGGTGGTGACTGGTGACGGTGATAACAGTGGTGACGGTGTTGGTGGGTGTCACCTTGTCCAGACAGACGATCTTCACTTTGCCCGCCACGCTGATACTGGGTGGGCTCACACAGAAGACTCCGTGGGCTCGCCGCAGGCGCCCCTGGGCGTAGGCCTGGCCCACCGTCACAGCCGCGGGCAGGGCCGGGGGGACCACGATGGTGACGAGGTCGAGGGCGCGCAGCACCACGGTCCACAGGGAGCTCTACCGTCAACACCACCACTACCATCAACATCATCAACACTACCATCAACATCGTCAACATCGTCAACACCACTACCATCAACATCACCACCACTATCACCATCACCACGATGGTGACGAGGTCGAGGGCGCGCAGCACCACGGTCCACAGGGAGCTCTACCGTCAACACCACCATCGTCAACACCACCATCATTACCATCACCACCACTATCACCATCACCACGGTCCACAGGGAGCTCTACCGTCAACACCACCATCGTCAACATCAACACCACCATCACCATCGTCAACATCACCACTATCAACATCACCACCACGGTCCACAGGGAGCTCTAGCGTCAACACCACCATCAACACCACCATCAACATCGTCAACATCACCATCAACATCACTACCATCAACATCACCACCACGGTCCACAGGGAGCTCTAGCGTCAACACCACCATCAACACCACCATCAACATCGTCAACATCACCATCAACATCACTACCATCAACATCACCACCACGGTCCACAGGGAGCTCTAGCGTCAACACCACCATCAACACCACCATCAACATCGTCAACATCACCATCAACATCACTACCATCAACATCACCACCACGGTCCACAGGGAGCTCTAGCGTCAACACCACCATCACTACCGTCAACATCACTACCATCACCATCAACACCACCATCATTACCATCACCACCATCACCACCACTATCACCATCAACATCACCACCACCACCACCACGGTCCACAGAGAGCTCTACCATCAACATCAACATCACTACCATCAACATCACTACCATCAACATCACCGTTACTACCATCAACATCACCATCAACATCACTACCATCAACATCACCGTTACTACCATCAACATCACCACCACTATCACCATCACCACGATGGTGACGAGGTCGAGGGCGCGCAGCACCACGGTCCACAGGGAGCTCTAGCGTCAACACCACCCTCACTACCATCAACATCGTCAACATCGTCAACATCGTCAACACCACCATCATTACCATCACCACCATCACCACCACTATCACCATCCACATCACCATCACTACCATCACCACGGTCCACAGGGAGCTCTACCGTCAACATCACCATCACTACCATCAACATCACCACCATCAACATCACCACCACCACGGTCCACAGGGAGCTCTACCGTCAACACCACCATCGTCAACATCAACACCACCATCACCATCGTCAACATCAACACCACCATCAACATCACCACTATCAACATCACCACCACGGTCCACAGGGAGCTCTAGCGTCAACACCACCATCAACACCACCATCAACATCGTCAACATCACCATCAACATCACTACCATCAACATCACCACCACGGTCCACAGGGAGCTCTAGCGTCAAAACCACCGTCAACACCACCATCAACAACATCACTACCATCAACATCACCACCACCACGGTCCACAGAGAGCTCTAGCGTCAACACCACCATCACTACCATCAACATCACTACCATCAACATCACTACCATCAACATCACCGTTACTACCATCAACATCACCACCACTATCACCATCACCACGATGGTGACGAGGTCGAGGGCGCGGAGCACCACGGTCCACAGGGAGCTCTAGCGTCAACATCGTCAACATCGTCAACATCAACACCACCATCGTCAACACCACCATCACCACTACAGCCACCACCATCACCACCCACACCACCACCATCACCACCCACACCACCACCACTATCACCACTATTAACATCAACATCACCACCACTATCACCATCACCACGATGGTGACGAGGTCGAGGGCACGAAGCACCACGGTCCACAGGGAGCTCTAGCGTCAACATCGTCAACATCAACATCACTACTATAACCACTATCACCACCACCACGGTCCACAGGGAACTCTACCGTCAACATCAACATCACTACCATCAACATCACCACCACCACGGTCCACAGGGAGCTCTAGCGTCAACATCAACATCACTACCATCAACATCACTACCATCAACATCACTACCATCAACACGGTCCACAGGGAGCTCTAGCGTCAACATCACCATCACTACCATCAACATCACTACCATCAACATCACTACCATCAACATCACTACCATCAACATCACTACCATCACCACGGTCCACAGGGAGCTCTAGCGTCAACATCAACATCACTACCATCAACATCACTACCATCAACATCACTACCATCAACATCACTACCATCAACACGGTCCACAGGGAGCTCTAGCGTCAACATCACCATCACTACCATCAACATCACTACCATCAACATCACTACCATCAACATCACTACCATCACCACGGTCCACAGGGAGCTCTAGCGTCAACATCAACATCACTACCATCAACATCACTACCATCAACATCACTACCATCAACATCACTACCATCAACACGGTCCACAGGGAGCTCTAGCGTCAACATCACCATCACTACCATCAACATCACTACCATCAACACGGTCCACAGGGAGCTCTAGCGTCAACATCACCATCACTACCATCAACATCATCAACATCGTCAACACCACCATCATTACCATCACCACCATCACCACCACTATCACCATCCACATCACCATCACTACCATCACCACAGTCCACAGGGAGCTCTACCGTCAACACCACCATCGTCAACACCACCATCAACATCGTCAACATCAACATCACTACCATCAACATGACCACCATCAACATCACTATCACCATCCACATCACCATCACTACCATCACCACGGTCCACAGGGAGCTCTAGCCATCAACACCACCATCACTACCATCAACATCACCACCATCAACATCACCACCATCACCATCAACATCACCACCACCACGGTCCACAGAGAGCTCTAGCGTCAACACCACCATCAACATCGTCAACATCGTCAACATCGTCAACACCACCATCATTACCATCACCACCATCACCACCACTATCACCATCCACATCACCATCACTACCATCACCACGGTCCACAGGGAGCTCTACCGTCAACATCACCATCACTACCATCAACATCACTACCATCAACATCACCACCACCACGGTCCACAGAGAGCTCTAGCGTCAACACCACCATCACTACCATCAACATCAACATCACCGTTACTACCATCAACATCACCACCACTATCACCATCACCACGATGGTGACGAGGTCGAGGGCACGGAACACCACGATCCACAGGGAGCTCTACCGTCAACACCACCATCAACATCAACATCGTCAACATCGTCAACACCACCATCATTACCATCACCACCATCACCACCACTATCACCATCCACATCACCATCACTACCATCACCACGGTCCACAGGGAGCTCTACCGTCAACATCACCATCACTACCATCAACATCACTACCATCAACATCACTACCATCACTACCACCACCATCAACATCACTACCATCAACATCACCACCACCACTATCACCACTATTAACATCAACATCACCACCACTATCACCATCACCACGATGGTGACGAGGTCGAGGGCACGAAGCACCACGGTCCACAGGGAGCTCTAGCGTCAACATCGTCAACATCAACATCACTACTATAACCACTATCACCACCACCACGGTCCACAGGGAACTCTACCGTCAACATCAACATCGTCAACACCACCCTCAACATCACCACCATCACCACCACCACTATCACCACTATCACCATCACCACCACGGTCCACAGGGAGCTCTACCGTCAACATCGTCAACATCGTCAACATCAACACCACCATCAACATCACCACTATCACCACCACCACCACGGTCCACAGGGAGCTCTAGCGTCAACACCACCATCATCACCATCACTACCATCAACATCAACATCACCACCATCACTATCACCACTATCACCACCATCAACATCACCACTATCACCACCATCACCACGGTCCACAGGGAGCTCTAGCGTCAACATCGTCACCATCACTACCATCAACATCACTACCATCACCACTATCACCACTATCACCACCATCAACATCACTACCATCAACATCACTACCATCAACATCACTACCATCACCACTATCACCATCAACATCACTACCATCACCATCACCACTATCACCATCACTACCATCAACATCACCACTATCACCATCAACATCACTACCATCAACATCACCACTATCAACATCACTACCATCACCATCACCACTATCACCATCAACATCACCACCATCACCACTATCACCATCAACATCACTACCATCAACATCACCACTATCACCATCAACATCACTACCATCAACATCACCACTATCACCATCAACATCACCCATCAACATCACCACTATCACCATCAACATCACTACCATCACCATCAACATCACTACCATCACCATCACCACTATCACCATCAACATCACTACCATCACCACCATCAACATCACTACCATCACCACTATCACCATCAACATCACTACCATCAACATCACTACCATCACCACTATCACCATCAACATCACTACCATCACCATCACCACTATCACCATCAACATCACTACCATCAACATCACTACCATCAACATCACTACCATCACCATCACCACTATCACCATCAACATCACTACCATCACCATCATCACCATCAACATCACTACCATCACCACTATCACCATCAACATCACTACCATCAACATCACCACCATCACCACTATCACCATCAACATCACTACCATCACCACTATCACCATCAACATCACTACCATCAACATCACCACTATCACCATCAACATCACTACCATCAACATCACCACTATCACCATCACCACTATCACCATCAACATCACCCATCAACATCACCACTATCACCATCAACATCACTACCATCACCATCACCACTATCACCATCAACATCACTACCATCAACATCACCACTATCACCATCAACATCACCACCATCACCACTATCACCATCAACATCACTACCATCACCATCACCACTATCACCATCAACATCACTACCATCACCATCACCACTATCACCATCAACATCACTACCATCAACATCACCACTATCACCATCACCACTATCACCATCAACATCACCCATCAACATTACCACTATCACCATCAACATCACTACCATCAACATCACCACTATCACCATCAACATCACTACCATCAACATCACCATCACTACCATCAACATCACTACCATCACCACGGTCCACAGGGAGCTCTAGCGTCAACATCACCATCAACATCACCACCATCAACATCACCATCACTACCATCAACATCACCATCACTACCATCAACATCACTACCATCAACATCACTGCCATCAACATCACCATCACTACCATCAACATCACTACCATCATCACCATCACCACAGTCCACAGGGAGCTCTACCATCAACAACATCATCACCACCACTACCATCACCACTATCATCAACATCACCATCATCACCACTATCACCATCACCACGGTACACGGAGCTCTAGCGTCAACATCGTCAACACCAACATCACCATCAACACCAACATCACCATCAACACCACCATCAACATCACTACCGTCAACATCACCATCAACATCACTACCATCAACATCACTACCATCACCACCACCTCCATCACCATCATCACCACCACCCACACCACCCACACCACCACCACCATCATCACCACCACCCACACCACCATCACCACGACAGCCACCAACATCACCACCACCATCATCACCACCACCACCCACACCACCATCACCACCATCACCACTACAGCCACCAACATCATCACCACCATCACCACTACAGCCACCAACATCACCACCCACACCACCACCATCACCACCACCCACACCACCCACTCTCCTGCTATCTGACAGTTACAGTGATAACTTCTCACATTCACATCGCTAGCCCCGGCCACCAACAGCACCACTACCATCATCATCACCATCACCACAATCACCACTACAGCCACCATCACCACCACCCACACCATCACCACCACCCACACCATCACCACCATCACCACTACAGCCACCACCATCACCACCCACACCACCACCATCACCACCCACACCACCACCATCATCACCATCACCACCATCACCACTACAGCCACCACCATCACCCACACCACCATCATCATCACCACCATCACCCACACCATCACCACCATCACCACCATCACCACCATCACCACCATCACCACCATCACCACTACAGCCACCAACATCACCACCCACACCACCACCATCACCAACACCACCATCACCACCACCCACACCACCCACACCACCATCACCACTACAGCCACCATCACCATCACCCACACCACCCACACCACCACCATCACCACCACCCACACCACCCGCTCTCCTGCTATCTGACAGTTACAGTGCTAACTTCTCACATTCACATCGCTAGCCCCGGCCACCAACATCACCACTACCATCATCATCACCATCACCACAATCACCACTACAGCCACCATCACCACCACCTACACCATCACCACCACCCACACCATCACCACTACAGCCACCACCATCACCACCCACACCACCACCATCACCACCATCACCACCACCCACACCACCACCATCACCACCATCATCACCATCACCACCATCACCACTACAGCCACCACCATCACCCACACCACCATCATCACCATCATCACCACCCACACCACCATCACCACCACCCACACCACCATCACCACTACAGCCACCATCACCACCACCCACACCACCACCACCCACACCACCATCATCATCACCACCATCACCCACACCATCACCACCATCACCACCATCACCACCATCATCACCACCACCATCATCACCACCACCATCATCACCACCACCATCACCACTACAGCCACCAACATCACCACCCACACCACCACCATCATCAACACCACCATCACCACCACCCACACCACCCACACCACCATCACCACTACAGCCACCATCACCACCACCCTCACCACCACCATCACCACCACCCACACCACCCACTCTCTTGCTATCTGACAGTTACAGTGATAACTTCTCACATTCACATCGCTAGCCCCGGCCACCAACATCACCACTACCATCATCATCACCATCACCCACACCACCATCACCACCATCACCACGACAGCCACCAACATCACCACCACCATCATCACCACCACCACCCACACCACCATCACCACCATCACCACTACAGCCACCAACATCACCACCACCATCATCACCACCATCACCACTACAGCCACCATCACCACCACCCACACCACCACCATCACCACCACCCACACCACCACCACCCACACCACCCGCTCTCCTGCTATCTGACAGTAACAGTGCTAACTCCTCACATTCACATCGCTCGCCCCGGCCACCAACATCACCACCTGATGACGGATGCGCTTGGTGTTGCGCCTGAAACGTCGTATTTTATTTTGTTTTCTAACTACGTGAGTTTGGATACCTGCAGGACACGAAAGCTGCAACTCCAGGTCTCACCTTGCTGTTGACGAGAATCACGATGCTGTAGATGTCTCCGATCGCCGCTGATGGGTGGCACACAGAGACGGGGTAAAGCTCACACACACACAGACAGACTAACACACACACAGACACACACACACACAGACACACTAACACACACACAGACTAACACACACAGACTAACACACACACAGACTAACACACACACACACAGACAGACTAACACACTCACACACTAACACACACACAGACTAACACACACACAGACTAACACACACAGACTAACACACACACAGACTAACACACACAGACTAACACACAGACACACACACTAACACACTCACACACAGACACACACTACCACACACACACTAACACACACACACTCACACACTAACACACACACAGACTAACACACACACAGACTAACACACACACTACCACACACACACTAACACACTACCACACACACACTACCACACACACACACTACCACACTCACACACTAACACACACACTACCACACACACTACCACACACACTGCCACACACTACCACACACACACACACTAACACACACTACCACACACACACACTAACACACACACAGACTAACACACACACAGACTAACACACACAGACACACACACACACTAACACACTACCACACACACACACACTCACACACTAACACACAGACACACTAACACACACACAGACTAACACACACAGACTAACACACACACAGACTAACACACACACACACAGACAGACTAACACACTCACACACTAACACACACACAGACTAACACACACACAGACTAACACACACAGACTAACACACACACAGACTAACACACACAGACTAACACACAGACACACACACTAACACACTCACACACAGACACACACTACCACACACACACTAACACACACACACTCACACACTAACACACACACAGACTAACACACACACAGACTAACACACACACTACCACACACACACTAACACACTACCACACACACACTACCACACACACACACTACCACACTCACACACTAACACACACACTACCACACACACTACCACACACACTGCCACACACTACCACACACACACACACTAACACACACTACCACACACACACACTAACACACACACAGACTAACACACACACAGACTAACACACACAGACACACACACACACTAACACACTACCACACACACACACACTCACACACTAACACACTCACACACTAACACACACACTACCACACACACTACCACACACACTGCCACACACTACCACACACACACACACTAACACACACTACCACACACACACACTAACACACACACACACACTACCACACAGACTAACACACACTACCACACTCACACTAACATACACTACCACACACACAGACACACACACTACCACACACACACTACCACACACACAGACTAACACACATACACTACCACACACACACACACACTAACACACACACAGACTAACACACACACAGACTAACACACATACACTACCACACACACACACACACTAACACACACACACACTAACACACACACAGACTAACACACACACAGACTAACACACACAGACACACACACACACTAACACACTACCACACACACACACACTCACACACTAACACACTCACACACTAACACACACACAGACTACCACACACACTACCACACACACACTAACATACACTACCACACACACACTACCACACACACACACTACCACACTCACACACTAACACACACACACTAACACACACAAACACACACACACTACCACACACACACACTACCACACTCACACACTAACACACACACACACTAACACACACAGACACACACACACTACAACACACACACTAACACACTCACACACAGACACACACTACCACACACATGTCTCCGATCGCCGCTGATGGGCGGCACACAGAGACAGGGTAAAGCTCACACACACTAACACACTAACACACACACAGACTAACACACACAGACTAACACACACACACACACACACTAACACACTCACACACACACACACACTAACACACACACAGACTAACACACACACAGACTAACACACACACAGACTAACACACACAGACTAACACACACACACACACACACTAACACACTCACACACACACACACACTAACACACACACAGACTAACACACACACAGACTAACACACACACAGACTAACACACACACACTAACACACACACTACCACACACACTACCACACACACTGCCACACACTACCACACACACACACACTAACACACACTACCACACACACACTAACACACACACACACACTACCACACAGACTAACACACACTACCACACTCACACTAACATACACTACCACACACACAGACACACACACTACCACACACACACACACTAACACACACACACTACCACACACACTACCACACTCCCAAACACACTAACACACACACTACCACACACACTAACACACACTAACACACACACACTCCCACACACACACTACCACACACACACATACTAGCACACACTACCACACACACACTAACACAAAAAAAATACAAAGATCCCCCGTATAGCCTTAACAGACTGTAGGGGCAAGTGCTGTTAGCGAGCACCTATGAAGGCCGTAACGGTACACGAGGGGGTGGGTGGCCAGCACCACGCCCGACCGCCTTTGTCTCCCCAGTGGCAATGTTTACACACCGCACCGGGTACTCATTTGAGGCTGAGTCGACCTAGGGGAGGCCCGGGACCGGTTCAGATAATCGTCACGTGGTGGTGTTGGCCGTGAGCGGGAATCGAACCCGGGTCGCCAGGTTCATAGCGCAGCGTAGCGCTAACCGCTACACTACCGCTCCCCCACACTAACACACACACACTAACACACACACACTACCACACACACACACTACCACACACACTAACACACACTACCACACACACACTACCACACACACACTCCCACACACACTACCACACACACACTCCCACACACACTACCACACACACACTACCACACACACTACCACACACACACTCCCACACACACTACCACACACACACTCCCACACACACTAACACACACACTAACACACACACTCCCACACACTACCACACACTACCACACATTACCACACACACACTACCACACACACACTCCCACCCAAACACTACCACCTACACACAGTGGTGGTGGTTGTGGTGGTGGTTGTGGTGATGGTGGCTGTAGTGGTGGTGGTGATGGTAGCTGTAGTGGTTGTGGTGGTGGTGGTCGTTGTGGTGGTGGTGATGGTGGCTGTAGTGGTGGTGGTTGTGGTGGTGGTGGTGGCTGTGGTTGTGGTGGCTGTGGTGGTGGCTGTGGTTGTGGTGGTGGCTGTGGTGGTGGCTGTAGTGGTGGTGGTGATGGTGGCTGTAGTGGTGGTGGTTGTGGTGGCTGTGGTGGTGGTGGTTGTGGTGGTGGTGATGGTGGCTATAGTGATGGTGGTTGTGGTGGTGGCTGTGGTGGTGGTGGCTGTAGTGGTGATGGTTGTGGTGGTGGCTTTGGTTGTGGCTGTAGTGGTGGTGGCTGTAGTGGTGGTGGTTGTGGTGGTGGCTTTGGTTGTGGTGGTGGCTGTAGTGGTGGTGGCTGTAGTGGTGGTGGTTGTCGTTGTGATGGTGGTGGCTGTAGTGGTTGTGGTGGTGGCTGTAGTGGTGGTGGTTGTGGCTGTGGTGGCAGTGGCTGTAGTAGTTGTGGTGGTGGTTGCTGTGGTTGTGGTGGCTGTAGTGGTGGTGGCTGTAGTGTTTGTGGTGGTGGTTGCTGTAGTTGTGGTGATTGTGGCTGTAGTGGTGGTGGTGGTGGCTGTAGTGGTTGTGGTGGCAATGGTGGTGGCTGTAGTGGTGGTGGCTGTAGTGGTGGTGGTTGCTATGGTTGTGGTTGTGGTGGCTGTGGCTGTGAGAGGGAATCGAACTCGGATCGTTGACCGCGGCCGCAGCGAAGCGCGGTGAGCTAACCGCTGCACCACCGCTCCCCACACACAGACACACGTGTGGTGGTGATGCTGATGATAATGCTGATGATGCTGCTGATTATGATGATGATTATGATGCTGCTGATGATTATGATGCTGCTGATGATTATGATGCTGCCGAGATGATGCTGCTGATGATCATGATGCTGATGATGCTGCTGCTGATGATGCTGCTGCTGATGATGCTGCTGCTCCCCCTCACCGAGCACGGCCAGGAACAGGACGAAGCGGACGGCGTCTCTGTAGAAGCGGAAGCGGATTGGCCGTGGATAGAGAATGGTTCGGACCAGCTCCCCCTTCGCCGTGTAGAAGCCTGGGGCCCACACAGAGACAAAGGTCCCCCAGGTGGCCCACACAGCAGGCGTCGGGGGGGGAGAGGGGAGAGGGGAGAGGGGAGAGGGGCGAGTGATGTCGGGCAGCGGCCTTGAAGGCCGGCAAAGGCAACTGACGCACTCATTCACTCACTCATTCACTCACGCATTCACTCACGCATTCACTCACGCATTCACTCACTCATTCATTCACTTATTAATTCACTCACGCATTCACTCACTCATTCACTCACGCATTCACTCACTCATTCACTCACGCATTCACTCACTGACTGACTCAATCACTCACGCATTCACTCACTGACTGACTCAATCACTCACTCATTCACTCACTCACCCACTCACTCATTCACTCACTCACCCACTCACTCATTCACTCAATCACTCACCCACTCACTCACCCACTCACTCATTCACTCACTCATTCATTCGCTCATTCACTCATTCATTCACTCACTCACTGACTGACTCAATCACTCACCCATTCACTCACCCACTCATTCAACCACTCATTCACTCACTCATTCACTCACTGACTTACTCATTCACCCACTCATTCACTCAGTCATTCACTCACTCACTCACCGACTCCGAACACGGAATCATGTACAGATAAAAAGGTCCCCCCGGTAGCCTCTAGAAGGCTGGAGGGGCAAGTGCTGTGAGTCGCGAGTAGCAGCAGCAGCAGCTGGGACTGTGAAGGCCGGGACTGTGGCACACACAGAGGGGGTGGGTGGCCACCACCACCATCACCTTTACCACCACCACCTTCACCAGCACCACCTTCACCAGCACCACCTTCACCACCACCGTCACCACCTTCACCAGCACCACCTTCACCACCTTCACCACCTTCACCAGCACCACCTTCACCACCACCACCTTCACCACCACCACCAGCACCACCTTCACCACCACCAGCACCACCTTCACCACCACCAGCACCACCTTCACCACCACCATCACCAGCACCACCAGCACCACCTTCACCACCTTCACCACCACCTTCACCACCACCTTCACCACCTTCACCACCACCACCTTCACCAGCACCACCTTCACCACCACCGTCACCATCACCACCTTCACCAGCACCACCTTCACCAGCACCACCTTCACCACCACCGTCACCACCTTCACCAGCACCACCTTCACCACCTTCACCACCTTCACCAGCACCACCTTCACCACCACCACCTTCACCACCACCACCAGCACCACCTTCACCACCACCAGCACCACCTTCACCACCACCAGCACCACCTTCACCACCACCATCACCAGCACCACCAGCACCACCTTCACCACCTTCACCACCACCTTCACCACCACCTTCACCACCTTCACCACCACCACCTTCACCAGCACCACCTTCACCACCACCGTCACCATCACCACCTTCACCAGCACCACCTTCACCACCACCGTCACCACCACCACCAGCACCACCTTCACCACCACCACCACCTTCACCACCACCACCACCTTCACCACCACCACCTTCACCACCACCACCACCACCACCACCTTCACCACCTTCACCACCACCACTTTCACCACCACCACCACCTTCACCACCACCACCACCACCTTTACCTGTGCGAGTGACTACAGCGCAGGCAAAGCCGTCCCCACCGTCCCCCCCGTCCCCACCGCCAGCCCCCCCCAGTGTGGGGGGCCCCGGGCTTGGCCTGTATGACGCTGGTGCCACAGAACAGGGTGTGACGCTGGTGCTCCTGGGCGCTGTAGTGCGACGCCTCCTGGGGCTCCAACGCCGTCTTGGTCACCGGAACGCTCTCCCCTGCACGTCACAACACAACGTCACACCACAACACGTCACACCACACCACGTCACACCACACGTCACAACACGTGACACCACGTCACACCACGCCACGTCATAACACGTCACAACACGTCACACCACGTCACACCACGTCACACCACAACACGTCACACCACGTCACACCACGTCACACCACGTCACACCACAACACGTCACACCACAACACGTCACACCACAACACGTCACACCACGTCACACCACGTCACACCACACCACGTCACACCACGTCACACCACAACACGTCACACTACACCACACCACACACCACGTCACGCCACACCACACCACAAACCACGTCACACCACACCACGTCACGCCACACCACGTCACACCACGTCACACCACACCACGTCACACCACAACACACCACACCACGTCACACCACGTCACACCAGACCACACCACACACCACACACCACATCACACCACATCACACCACACACCACATCACACCACACACCACGTCACACCACACCACGTCACACCACGTCACACCACGTCACACCACACCACACACCACGTCACACCACACGTCACACCACGCCACGTCACACACCACGTCACACCACACGTCACACCACGCCACGTCACACACCACGTCACACCACGCCACACCACGTCACACCACATCACACCACCACACCACACACCACGTCACACCACGTCACACCACGCGGGGGGGGGGGGGGCGGCTTCTGCGTCCCACCGGTGAGCATGCTCTCATTGACGATGCACGACGAGCCCCCCACGAGGGCTGCGTCGAAGGGGAGCGGCAGGGCCCCCCCCAACCCCGCACCGTCGCCATCGCCGGCACCGCCGGCACCGCCGGCACCGCCGGCATCACCGGCGGGGATGAGGAGGCAGTCACCGGGCACCAGGTCTGAGGAGTCGACCCTCTCCACGCCTGTCGGGGGGGAAAAAGGCAGAGGGGGCTACGTCACACCACGTCACACCACGTCACACTAAACTACGTCACACCACGTCACGTCACGTCACACCACGTCACACCACGTCACACTACACTACGTCACACCACGGCACACCACGCCACGTCACGTCACACCACGTCACACCACGTCACGTCACGTCACACCACGTCACACCACGTCACACTACACTACGTCACACCACGGCACGCCACGTCACGTCACGTCACACCACGTCACACCACGTCACGCCACGTCACGTCACACCACGTCACACCACGTCACGTCACGTCACACCACGTCACACCACGTCACACCACGTCACCTCACACCACGTCACACCACGTCACACCACGTCACACCACACCACGTCACGTCACACCACGTCACACCACGTCACCTCACGTCACGTCACACCACGTCACACCACGTCACGCCACGTCACGTCACGTCACACCACGTCACACCACGTCACGTCACGTCACACCACGTCACACCACGTCACACCACGTCACACCACGTCACACCACGTCACCTCACACCACGTCACACCACGTCACCCCACGTCACACCACGTCACACCACGTCACCTCACACCACACGTCACACCACACCACGTCACACCACGCCACGTCACACTACACCACGTCACACCACACTACGCTACGTCACACCACGTCACACCACGCCAGGTCACACCACACGTCATAACACACTACGCCACGTCACACCACGTCACACCACGTCACCTCACACCACACTAAGCTACGTCACACTACGTCACACCACGTCACACCACGTCACCTCACACCACACGTCACACCACGTCACACCACCTCACCACACGTCACACCACACTACGCCATGTCACACCACGTCACACCACACCACGTCACACTACACACAGAGGGGCCCAAGGGGTGGGAAGGTGCGTCGCTCGCTCTCGCTCCACCACGCTCCACCACGCTCCACCACGCTCCATCACGCTCCGCCACGCTCCACCACGCTCCCTCACGCTCCACCACGCTCCACCACGCTCCATCACGCTCCACCACGCTCCCTCACGCTCCACCACGCTCGCTCTATATCACGCTCCACCACGCTCGCTCTATATCACGCTCCACCACGCTCGCTCTATATCACGCTCCACCACGCTCGCTCTATATCACGCTCCACCACGCTCCGTCACGCTCCACAACGCTCCACCACGCTCCACCACGCTCCACTACGCTCGGTCACGCTCCACCACGCTCCACCACGCTCGCTCCATCGTCGCTCGCTTGTCAGGGCTAGTGTGGTGTCGTTCGCCCTCCGTCACTCGCACGCGCAAAAGATGTCCCCCTTCCACTCCCCTCCCCGCCCCGCGCGGCCTTGAACACACACACACACACAGCCACACACACACACAGCCACACACACACACAGCCACACACACACACAGCCACACACACACCCAGCCACACACACACACACACAGCCACACACACACACAGCCACACACACACACAGCCACACACAGCCACACACACACAGCCACACAGCCACACACACACACACAGCCACACACACAGCCACACACACAGCCACACAGCCACACACACAGCCACACACACACACACAGCCACACACACAGACACACACACACAGCCACACACACACCATGCCTCCGTAACTTTGCCGCAAGAGCCGCAGAATCGGAATTCCTGCCCGTCACCAACGCCTCAAGCCGAGCCCCATCGCCGGGGACACTTTGTCGACGTGTGGCTGTGTGTGTGGCTGTGTGTGTGTGTGGCTGTGTGTGTGTGTGTGGCTGTGTGTGTGTGGCTGTGTGTGTGTGTGGCTGTGTGTGTGTGTGGCTGTGTGTGTGTGTGGCTGTGTGTGTGTGTGGCTGTGTGTGTGTGTGGCTGTGTGTGTGGCTGTGTGTGTGGCTGTGTGTGTGGCTGTGTGTGTGGCTGTGTGTGTGGCTGTCTGTGTGTGTGTGGCTGTGTGTGTGTGGCTGTGTGTGTGGCTGTGTGTGTGGCTGTGTGTGGCTGGCTGTGTGTGTGTGTGGCTGGCTGTGTGTGTGGCTGGCTGTGTGTGTGGCTGTGTGTGTGTGTGTGTGACTGTGTGTGACTGTGTGTGGCTGTGTGTGGCTGTGTGTGTGTGTTGCTGTGTGTGTGTGACTGTGTGTGTGGCTGGCTGTGTGTGTGTGGCTGTGTGTGTGTGGCTGTGTGTGTGTGTGGCTGTGTGTGTGTGGCTGTGTGTGTGTGGCTGTGTGTGTGTGTGGCTGTGTGTGTGTGTGGCTGTGTGTGTGTGGCTGGCTGTGTGTGTGTGTGGCTGGCTGTGTGTGTGGCTGGCTGTGTGTGTGGCTGTGTGTGTGTGTGGCTGTGTGTGACTGTGT